TCCCACATGCCGCGGAGCGGCTGGGCCCGTGAGCCATGGCCACTGAGCCTGGGCGTCCGGAGCCTGAGCTCTGCAACGGGAGAGGCCACAGCAGTGAGAGGCCTGCGTACCACAAAAAAAAAAAAAAAAAAAAAAATTACTCTTCACATTGGATTCCAATTGTGTATTTGTATTTTCTGATTTAAAAAAAGTAGGATTGAATATACATGCTTATGCCGTAGTATCTTCTGCTTAAGGTTTGAGTGCCTTACCATTCATGTAAAATTGGCATGGCAAATAGTGTTATTCCTGTTTTATGGAGACCTTAGATATACCCTACAGAGATTAAGTGATTTATCTAAGGTCATACAGGGAAGAGGCTGTTGAGGTGAATGAGGTTAAGTCAAAATCCAGAAGCCTTGGGGCAGTTATCTTCAACTCGGCTGTTTTAATTTGCAGGTGGCATGAGAATACTGTTTTAGTTTATTTTTTTCTTTGGTTATTTTGATTGATACCCTAGGAAATTAACTTGACAAACTTGGTCAAACTTTCTGCCTCTTACCGTTTCTGAAAAGCCACTTGCTTATACTGGTTTTTAGGCACAATGACCAGTGGAGACTAGCAGGGCAAGTAGAGCAGGGAAGTCAGAAACTCAGCCATGGCTGTACGGTCTCTGGATAGCAAAAAGCATAGCTCAGTTGACTTCAGGCAGTAGGAGGAACAGGCTAGCAGAGGCTAAGGCCTTGAATTTAAAAAGCTTCCTCATAGAAACAGGGCATCACACTGGTACAGAGAGGCATCTGGGACCAGCATGGCATATAGGAGCCTCCACACAGGCAGGTGAAACATGAAAAGCCATATTGGGGAACGCACGCAGCAGGCAACTTGGCACTGAAGTCAGGCAGCAGGGCTACAGCCTTAGGTCTAGTTCCTTGGAAGGGATTTGGGAGGAGCAAGGCAGCCCAGTCCTTTAAGGAGTGACCCTTTAAGCAGGCTCCCAACGTAGGGGCTCGGGTAGAAGGACTAAGACAAAAGTTGAGTTACCACATGGGGTAGAGCCTAAACCTTGGGAACAAAGCAAAACCCCAATTGTCAATACTAGACTAGATATAGTAAGCACAAAAAAGCCCAGTAAATAAATTAATTTCTAGTAGTGACAGGGGCCATGAAGAAGATAAAACAGAGTAACATGTACATTTAAATTTATTTATGGATTTAGTCACACATTTATAGCTGTAACTTCACACCTACTGTCGTTTTCTAAAAGCCATACATGGGTTAACTGGGACTTTAAGAGTTAAGCTATGGATTTGAGAACTAAAATCATATCAACTATCACCAGAGAACACTTGCTTAGTAGTTTCTTCCCTTTCAGATGGTTTTTAGCACCATTTTACCAAAATTAAGATTTTCTTTTACTCTTGGAATTAGGAGAGGCAATTGATGTTCAAGTGATAAACATCAATTGATGTTCAATTATTAGTACAATTGGTGTTCAACTTTAAAGGATAAAGGTCAGGTATGTGCATATGGGGTGTGTGTGTGTGTGTGTGTGTGTGTTTAGACATTAAAACTGAATATCGGACTTATCAATTTAAGGGCTGTAAATAAAGGTAATGGATTCAAACACCAAAAAGGTGGTTAAAATAGCTTATCTTTAATGTACTTCTCATACTTGAGATTCTAGATTTCCACATAGTTTTGTTTCACATTTTATCAGGCAAGTATGCTACATGGTTGATCAGTGGATTATCACATTGCATTTTTTTTTTAGCGGCACGCGGGCCTCTCACTGCTGCGGCCTCTCCCGCCGCGGAGCACAGGCTCCGGACGCGCAGGCTCAGCGGCCATGGCTCACGGGCCCAGCCGCTCCGCGGCACATGGGATCCTCCCGGACCAGGGCACGAACCCATGTCCTCTGCATCGGCAGACGGACTCCCAACCACTGCGCCACCAGGGAAGCCCTCACATTGCATTTTTAAGGCTCTCCTTTTGTCTCATAAACATTCCTTTTTATTATCATATTTGAGTTTATGTAGCAATTCAGGCCCTCCAGATAATAACCCTGTATTTCAGTAACAATATTTTTGAAGTATTGGCATCATGCCTCATTATATTAAAGAAATATTCATGCCAAATACCTAAACATGACATGGTTTTTGACTTGATCTGCAAGTTGGCAGTAGAAAAGGAAATTCTGTAGTACCTCTATATTAAGTAAATGCCATATCTACTTAAATTATCTAATGTTACTGTAACCTACTTATGAAAACAGTAGTTTGCTTAGATGAATAGTCTATAAAATAGTAGGAACTGTTTTAATGCTGAAATGACCACAGAGCACACAAATGCCAAATTATACACAAAGGATTTTTCCTTCTTATACTCCAGAGGTCGTCATCAGTGGCTTCAAAAACAACTTGAAAATATGTCATCTCCAATGACATTTGGGTTACTATTTTGTCTTAATTTACCTCTTCCCATTATTATTGAAATACAATTCAATTTTAAATATTTGTCTGGTTTAGGTTTTGATATTTGTATAGAGATGTCTTTGTAGTAACCAGCGGTTTATTATTCTTTAGTGGTTTGGGATAGGAAGCTGTTTTTATAGCCTTTGACATCTCATTTAAAAATAATTAATTCGTTTCCTAATTTGCCGTCTATAATGGGTCAATAGAGTAAAAAATCCTGATGTTGGCAATCAGCGGGAAATTCTCTAGTGGATATATACAGAGCCTGCACTTTGGTCTAAAGAACCAGCTGCTTAAGCCTACAAGGAAGATGTGTGGTGAGTGTGGAAAAGGCCTGAGGCTTAATCATCTGTTTGCTCGTTGTGACCCAGGAGTGTGGTACAGCTGCCAAGAGAGCAGAGGCAACCAGAGGCCAGGCTGGCAGTGAGAACTCCCAGTAAACAGGGGGCGGCTCTTTCCACCCTGCACTCCCATCCCCAGCCTGGTGTCTTGGGGTCAGTTTGGGGTTCTCTAGTTAGCTGTATAAATGTTTAAGTGTTTAAAATTGGAGCTCATTCAAAGACAAGTGGTCAGGATGGAGAGAAAACTTGAAACCATGTTTATGTAAGGAAGAGCTGGAGGAACTGAGGATGTTTATTCTGGAGGAGAGGGTACAGAATTGCTGTCTTCACAGATATAAAGGGCTGTCATGTAGAAGAGAGGTTAGATTTATTCTGCATGGCTCTGGAGGATAGAATAAGGGCCAATGGGGCAGATTTTGGCTCAGTTTAGGAATAGCTTTCTGCTGGTTACACATGTCCCTGAAAGGAATGAACTGCCCCCAAATGTAGTAATTTTGGATCTTGGGGACAAGCATACCTAGGCAGATGGTTGCTACTGTATTCCAGGGAACGTCCCATGAGACTGGACTGAAGATCTCTAAAGTCCTCCCAACGCTAAGATCCTAGTTCACCATCTCTCCATCCAGCAAACACGTTTCTTGACCAAGCACAGTGCTAGGGGTGCGGAGACCTCCAGGCACTGGAGAAACCAGGCATGCAGACGGTGGCCACTGCACAGGGTGAGGAGTACAGTGATGGACCTGGTTGTGTGAGGTCTCAGAGTCCTGGAGAGGGCCCACGAATGCGATGCTTGGATGGCAGTGCCTGAGCTGAGTTGTAAGTAGTAGTTGGCCAGGTAACAAGTGGAGATAGGGCATTGCAGCAGGAGGGCAGAGCATGTGTAGAGGCCAGGGCGAGATTGTGGGTGCAGATGGACAGGGAGAGAATAAAACGGAGCAGGAGCTGGAGCAGAAAGTGCCTTATATGCTAAACTGAGCATTTGGCTTTAGGAGTTGAAGTTTAGGAATAATGTAATCCGATTTGCATGTTTGAAAGGTGGCTCAGCTGATAAGGTTGAGGATAGAGTGGTACCAACAGTGAAGTCACCCAGGGGCTCCTCTCTGAGTCTCAGGTTACTCACCCCTTATGTGAGGGGCTTGGACTATTCTGTAGTATTCTATGAGGATAGTCATTCAGTATCATCCTTTATAATTTCACTTTGCTTGTCAAGCCTGTGGTGTTCTAAGTCTCACCAGCCTCTGGGTACAAATGCAATCACATTGGTGATAATACCCAGATTTCATTCACACTTCTCTATTTTGCTGCTTCAGACCTCCAGACCCCCTGAAACTCATATCCAGTTATCTCTGGGGCCCCCTGGGGATGTCCGATTGGAGAGCATAAGCAGACCCCTCCCGCTTCTCATTCTGTTGTTATCTGAACCCACCTGATGGTGGTGCTTCCTCATGCCAATCCTCTGTGATGACACCGCGGTCCCTGCCCACCATAGATATCCCTAGAATTACGGCTTGCAGGGTGCTAAGGTGACACTGCACTCCTCATGGTCTTCACTGCAGCCCAGCCACACTGTTCCCAGCAAATGGGGGTAAACGGCTCACTTCCTCACTTCATGTCACTTTTGGTCACCTGGGCATGGGAGTGGGGCTGGGTAGGCTTGTGTCTCCCAAAATCCCTCTTGACAAAGCTCCTCTGGTTTTGGCCTACAAACCCAAGGCTGTGGAACCAATAAGTGAGAGAGACATCAGGGTTTTCTCTCCCTTCCAGTTTCCCCCAGTCTCTCCTTGTCCTGGCTGGTTCTCCTTCAGCAGCAAAATGAACTATAATCCTAGGGCTTCACTCTCTGGATCATCAAACATACATACACCTGAGATGATGATGATTATCATGCCTGGCACAGGGCTAAAAGCTTCTCATATACCATCTCATTTAATCACCCCAACCCTTGGAGATACATATTATTGGTATCCTCAGTTGTACATGAGGATGAGGCTAAGAGGAATTAAGTAATGTACTCAAAGTCAAACAATTGACAGAGCTAGAATTTAAAACCAGACTGGTCTGGAATATTCCAGGCACCAAGCTCTTAACAAGTCCCCAACAGTGGGACATAAAAACACTCATAATCTTATAACTTGATTAACAGTAAAGTGCTTACTTTGCTCATTTGTCATCTATGCATAAATTCCAAATTGGCTTTTGCATCCAGGGCTGGGAAGAAACGGTGGATGCTGCTATTTCCCACCTTTTGAAGACCTGCCTATCGAAGAGTTCCAAGGAGCAGGCTTTGAACCTCAGCAGCCAGTTGAGCATACCCAAAGACACAAGCCGATTGAAGAAACATATCACCTTGCTGTGCGATCGATTAGCCAAAGGTGGACGTCTCTGCCTAAGTACTGATGCAGCAGCTCCGCAGACCATGGTCATGCCAGGTAAGAGCTCCATTCATGCTCCCAAAACACAACTGTACTTTGGCCAAATTAAAGGAATGTGCCTGTGGTTGTACTTGGGGTTTACATTTCATATTAAAGTGATGATAGCCAAGAAAATTACTTTCACGTTTCCCCTTAGATATCCCAGGGTAACCACTTGGATAAATATTCTTGGGGTATTTGCTTGCTAGACATTTCTAGAATGGTATGTCTTTTTTCTTCCCTCTGCTTTTAAATATATGATCCATTTTGTTTTGCTTCTAACCAATAAAAAGTGGATTAGAGAATAAAACTATTTTTAAGGAAAATTTTACTAAATGTGATCTCACGATACCATATTTCATAAATGTAAATAGGATAATACAAGCAGCTAATATAGTCCAGATGAGTCCCATCCCTTCTGCTGTTTTCCTGGTTGTGGTCACCAGAATAAGGGGGAAGAGACAAAGAAAAAGACTGGAGATCAGGAGACATGAGCAGGCTTCAAGGCTGAGGCCTCTATGTGTCAGGGGGAGAGAGATCCAGGTTGCCCAGACCTGGGCAGTCAGTGATGACCATGGGCATCCAAGTCAGCCCTTCCCACAGTCAGAGGGGCTGAGCCGTCAATAGCGCTGCATTCGGTCCTTTAGAGGCCGCAACTCCCAAGTCCCGCTTAGCTCTACTTAGTGTCTCTCTTTATGGCAGCAGCAAGGAGCATAAGTAAGTGAATTTATTAAACGCAGCAGCGGTAGCATCTATTTCCTCCTAAAGCAAGGACCATAGTATGGGAAGTGGTGTGGAGTTTTTCATCTTCCTCCTTACATGCGTTTCGTACACTTACTGCCCGCCCCCCCATGCTGATGTTACTGCTCATATGACCTGGATATGTTTCTTAACTTTCCAGAGTCTAGTTTCTCCTTTCAAAGTGGGTATAATAATGCCTTCCTTGTTGCTAGGGCATTATATGTTTGTAAAGCACCTAGCACAATTCTTGGAACAGAGGTACACTCAAAAAATTCAAACTATAATTATTACCATTGTACGGATGTATGCATAATTCACCTTATAAATTTGGGGTGGAGAGAACGGCTGGCTTGGGACCATGGGATTCTGTACTCTATGGTTTGAAAATTTTTTTGCCTTAATCATACACAGGCAGAACCTAACTTTCATTCCAAAGTAATATTTCTAATATGGCATCTCAGAATAGAATTGCCTTCCTGCTTAGAAACAGTTCTAATAGTTTGTCTTAATTTAGGTCTTCTTCATCTTGCCCTTGTTAACATCCTCCTAACTGGTTCTTGGGCCTCAATTCATCCTTCTCTGTCCACTGTTAGGATGATTTTCCTAAGAAATAAATATGTAGGCTTAATGAGATAGTAAATGAAAAATATCCACTATAATCAGCAATCAGTATATGGCTCTCCCTCCTTTCTTGCCAATTGGAGAAACAAAGGAGGCTTGAGGGAGAAGGCCAAATACATAAAAGGGAAAGCTTAAAAAGAGATGGACTGACCCCCTGATTGGCTGGTGTGTTTGTCAGTGCAGGCCTTGGTAGCCCTGCCTTGTCTTCCCCACGTCCTTGTTGGAGCCGCTTTGGGAACAGCCACTGGGAGTCCGGTGGCATTGCTGTGAGCAAACACCTGGACACCTGGAGAGAAACGATGCTTCTTTAGTCACATTTATTGATTATAGAACTTTAGACATTTGTTTAAATAACTAGATTTGGAAGCAACTTCAGGGTTGTGTCCTTAGAAACCCTTGATGTAAAATTTCTGAATGTTTGGAAGGAAGAGGCAGAGGAAAGAGGAAGAGAAGGAAGGGAGGGAGAAATGAAGGAAGGTGGAAAATGTGTTTGTCCACAAACCAGGAATCTGGAAGCCAAGTGTGTGCCTGTCACACTAGTCTAGCCGAGTTCATCCCGTTGGAGAGATTGAGGCTGTGCGTATTTGTCGCGGTCATAATTGCTTGCTTTTACTTAATGATGACCCACTTTTTGACTTTAGTTGAGTGACTCTCCCTCCCACCTGCCGTATCCAATCATGATAGCGAGTTCTTAAAATTTGTTAAATCAGTGCTCTTCATCATTACCATGCTCCATTATTGCCTATAATACCTTTCCTCCATAGAGCTCAAATTTTTCACATACTTATTTCTGTACTTAACATGTTTTTGAGGTAGAAGAAACATGTAGAATTATTGCTGTTTTACAAATAGAAATGGAGCTAAGGAAAGCTAAATATCTTTCCCAGAGTTACATGGTTACCGGAAGGGTTAGGTCTAGAATCCAAATCTTGTAGCGCACTGTGCTTCCCTCTAGACCACACAGACCACACGGTACAAATATATTTCTAGCCAGAGCCTCCTCCTGTGTGAGCTATTCTTGATCTGGCCTTGTTTTCACTTAAATTGGCCTAGGATTGTGGGAGGGAAAGGGCAGAAATTTCACACAGTCTCTTTTCTTTGCTATGAGGAATATAATAAGGATTTACCCTGTATTTGCTTTGTGCTTAATTTTTATTATCTCAGTAGGTGACATGGTACCATTATTACAGAGATTATTTCTGAGTTATTTCTGCTTCAAACCAGTAGTTGTGAAATTTCTGATGTTTAGCTTTAGTAGTTGTTTCAGAATATGTGAAGGTAAAGTGGCATATTAGAAAGGAGTAGATTACTGAACACATAAGCATACAAGCATTTTTCACAGACATGATCTTTTTTTAATAGCTGGGCAGGAACTCAGAAATCATCTGGTTTACTTCCCTCTCTTAACAGCTGAGGTAACGAAGGCGCTAGGAAGATGAAGTGACTTAGTGGTTGATGTTAAAAGGCAGGGATGTGTGTAATTTTACCATGTTCCCTATTAAATTGCAGATGGATCTCAGAATAAAAAACTCTTGGTCTTCTCTAGCCTCATGACTTTATGAACCCAGCACCTTGGATGTGCCCTTTCTTTGCTCCAGTAAAGGCCATGATGACAACATCCTCCCTGGCGTCCAGAATTTGACAATCTTTCCCACTGGGAATTACCTTATGGACTTCTTTGCCTCACATTTCTCCTGCTTGCCTTTATCAACCTTCAGCTTCTCTATCAGGATTTAGCCTAATCTTTATTGGGTATTCTTTTTATTACAGAACCATCAAACTTCTATTTTTCTTATCTGTACCTCTGTATTCACATCTTTCAGCTGGGGAATATTGCATTTTCATTAAATGTCTTTTTTCTAATCTCAGTGGTATGTATTCTACCCTTAGAACAAGAGTTACAGAGGGCCACCAGGGTAGTGTTTTAAAAAAAATATGAATGTGAATGCCTTTAGTTGCCTAGCTGGCTTTCTCATACTTGTTTGTTACTTGCTGCAACCCTGCAGGTGCTTGAGGCTGAGGTTTACCTTAGATTGCTAGAGTGATTAAAGTATGGAAGGTTCGAGACTAATTGGTATCAGAAGAAGACTACCTGAAACTGGAACCAACATTTCATTGTTTTCATTAGGAAAACAAAAGATTTGTTTGAAAAAGAGTAAAGTTAAAATCAACAGTAAGTTTATCATATATTTGCCAGAATTTATGTTATGCCTGCAATTTTGTGCCAATTCTTAGAGACAGCGATGAAGAAGTTGCGTGAGGTTTTTGTTTTTGCTTTGTTTCTGGTATGATGATGGACACTCAAATTTGGCCTAACTAGCACCTTCACAGAGAAGGTAATTTTTAGGAAAAAATATTCCAAGGCACTACCCATTTTCCTAGGGATCTTTCTTTGATCTGCAAACCATTTTCTTCAGAAACATCTATCATGTCATCATTCTAGCCAATTTTCTTCTCTTCATTGTTAACTGGACCAATTGCCAGATTTTCTTTTTTTTTTTTTTTAACATCTTTATTGGAGTATAATTGTTCTACAATGGTTTGTTAGTTTCTGCTTTATAACAAAGTGAATCAGCCATACATACACATATATCCCCATATATCCTCCCTCTTGCGTCTCCCTCCCACCCTCCCTATCCCACCTCTCTAGGTGGTCACAGAGCAAGGAGATGATCTCCCTGTGCTATGCGGCTGCTTCCCACTAGCTATCTGTTTTACATTTGGTAGTGTATATATGTCCATGCCACTCTCTCACTTCATCCCAGCTTACCCTTCCCCCTCCCCGTGTCCTCAAGTCCATTCTCTACATCTGCGTCTTTATTCCTGTCTTCAATTGCCAGATTTTCTCCGGTACTGTCCTTGCATGTGATACAAGCGGTTCTCTAACAACACTTTAACTGCATTGCATCTTGCATCATTTGCAAGGTTTGTAATTTCCCTCTGCAGCCCATTTATGCTGTATTTGCAACAGTTTCCAACAGTTGGTGAGAGATGAACCAATACAGACAGTTGATAGCAGATGGGGATTCCTCTAGTGTTAAATGTGGAAAGATACTGGAGTAGAGACTAATTTTATAAGTGGCCAGTTAGTTTTTGAGTGAATATCTTTGTATTATGCTTTTGCTTTTTTATGATTACAATTGGGATAATTAGAGCATCTATAAGTAGGAGAATCCCCCCCTCCCCAAAATTATGTATGTAAGAATTTAGAAGGTGCTAGCCTGAATTCTGATCTCATGTGCTAATGTGGCATTTCAAAGCAATGGAGAGTGGACAAGGTGAATTAATTGAAAAATGTTTCTGGGAACAGGCCAACCATTTGGAGAAAAAATAGATTCCCTAGCCCATTCTGTGTGCCACGATACATTTCAGATGGATAAGAGATGTAAGTGTAAAAAAAAAAAGGAAACACAACAACACAGAATGAAATAGAGGTAGATACATAGACATGGAGGTGCAGGATAAGTCTTTCTAAGTAAGTCAGTAAAGGCAGAAAGCAAAAGACAGAGCTTCAGTGATACACGTCTCAAAATCTGGTCCAGAAGCATATAAACCGAGATGTATGTTAATGATAATTATCCTGGGTGCCACAGTTATAGGTGGTGTCTGAGTGTCCTCCTGCTATTTCTCTTCCATATAATGTGTACATTTTCGTA